TACGAAAACATTGAGATGGGCCTGTTGTTTCATAATTTTATAAACACATTTTCTTTTCTTTCTTTTTTCTTACGTAAAATAGAACTTTATTTCTTTACTATCTGATTCTGTTTATGTTTTTTTTCCTTTGATTTTCGAAATATTGTGTACTAAAGCTACTTCATGAGAAATGAAAAGGGAAGTATTCCTTCCATTAAAAGAAACAAAAAATGTTTCACATCCGCGAAAAAGACAGTCTGCGTTAGAAGAAAAACTTCTAGAGTTTTTATGCTCATTTCGTGTATTTAAATGAACATAAAATATTTTAATTGCAAAAACTGCAGCGTTAGGATACCGATTTTGAACATCGAGTAGTAAAAGAAATCATTTTTAATTAAAAAAAACAGAAATTTCTCCCCTGAAACAGAATTTGGCCAGTACTTTTTTATTAATGATTTCTTTTTTACCCTTTATAATGGTAATACTGATAAAAATTGCCTCAAGATAAAGGAGAAACCAAATTAGTGAAAATTATAATTGTATTTCTCTCTTTTTCCCTTAACGTTTTATCAACAGTTGAGCAACAATTATTATTTCGTCTTCATATTCTGATTCCTGGTGTTGACTACATTTTCATTAACATTTTCAACTGGATGCGTTTTTACATTTTATCGCTTTTTTAATATTGGTAGAAAAATAAAATGTAATCTTGAATTCAAAATAATTGTGCGTATTTAAATATTAGACATCATAGATAAAATATATGAGTGTATTTGAAGTCCTCGGCCATTTTTAATCTCAATCTAGATAAAGAATGTATAGATCTTTGAATGTATTCTATTTCTACTTGCAGAAGTAATATAAATGTTATAAATTTACGATTTTATCACACGTGTACCTCTTGTTTAAAATCTAATAAATTAACAATATAATATGAATTTAATGTCATATTCCTTTTCAACATAGAAAAGATGTTAGTTCAAGTCCTCAAAATTTTATCTTATTTAATTAATGGCATTATTTACAATCCAGTGTTTCCCAATGCTTCAGAATTTTAATATCTCAGTTGTTCACATATTATTTATGCTTTTTCTCTAGAGAGCATTACGCTTGTGTTCGTTTTGCTCTTTCCCTTGCTTTCGTTATCAAAACGGTAGTCATTCTTTCTATTTTAAAAAATAGTTTTGATCGTGAAGAAGACCTCCTGTATCTGATCGCTCTTGAAACTGACAGTTTCATTCAAATCTTACTCCAAAATACGGTTGCTATATATATATATATATATACATACATATATATACTATATATATATATATATATATATATATATATATATAATATACATACATATATATATCATATATATATATATATATCATATAAGATATATAAAATAAACTGCATTTGGAGAGATTCCAAATTTTATGCAGCTAACACTTGTAAATAAAAATCGTACAAATAATTAGCTTTTTCTTTAAAATGTAAGAAAAGTACAGGTACAAGTAAAATAGTATCTTGATCAATACGCCCTTTCATCTATCACATAAAATATCCGGCTTCAAAGCTCTATAATAAACTAATACTGGTTACCTTGATAATAAATGAAATAAAAAGAATTATTTCAAAGTTAAATGTTCAAGTGATTTTCTCTGTTAATCTAAAAGGATGCGTATTAAAAATATCAAATTTTGTTCGAAATCATATTATCGCTTAAATATAATTTAAAATATCCGATGTGGAGACCACATGATTTTTTTACGGCCACTTAAAGTATAGACATTTTTGGCTGCCTTTCATTTAAATGCATTTCGTCAAATTTCATTAGAGATATACTGCACATTCTATCAATTCCGTTCTCATTTCGCGGCAAACCAAAAATGCATAAAAACTCAAAACATGTTCATTTAAAATTGCAAAGTACAGAAACTCTTAAAATACCAAACAGTTAAAAACTTTTTACAATTAAAATTAAAGTTTTTACACAAAAACAAGCAATTCGGACAACGGGTAGGAAGACCATATTTTCGGTGTACAAAGTTGAAAGTTATCTTTTGGTTCCACTGGCAAATAAGGTACTGAAGTTGGTGCACCAGCTGGACTTAATTCACTATTCTACTAAGAGTTTCAAATGTAAACAAATGACGGACGTATTAGGCCTAGTGGTAATTAATCATTTAAATTCTTAATAATTCTAAAACTATTGCATGCAGATTAACTGAAAGTATACAACTTTAACAGGAACATAAGAATAACCACTTTTAAACCAGAAAATGCACATTTTACAACATGTAAGAATAAAAGTACTGAGGTCACCGGGCCGTGTAACAGGGTGGGAATATATACCTATATAATATATACCTATATATAGGTATATATTTATACCGTATAACACAGACATATATTTACAAGAAAAGAATATTTTTTATTTTGTTAGAGAACTCATTCGTTCAAACTAAATCAGTTTCTTATTTCAATCTTCTGTTGCATATATTTTTAAAAAATTCATCTTCGCATTCACATTAGCACAAAATGGGCTATCATTTTAACAGTGTCTTTGTCAAAATAGCATGTGAGGTTATTAAATAAATATTTTTAAATATTAAATCTGTATATTACTTACTCCTATAACAATAATTAATATTATTTTTAATAAGAAATTATTAAAAATATGAAATTTTTATGCAGTTAAAAGTTTCATTTTCATTCGATTATACAGAAGAATATAGAGAAGAAAATGCATATAGAAAAAGAGGATTTTACTGCAGAGCTAATTTGTTATATAATAATGATATTTCAAGTATATTAAAATTAATAAATGTAATTATTAATAAACCTATAATGTAACATTTAATTGTGTTTTACCGTTCTTGCAATATATTATTTCCTATACGCGTTCTTCCACTACCCCCACCAATAGATCAAATAGAGAGGTTCCCATAAAACTCACATAGAGAGGTTTGTTTCTGGACACATGTCTTTTTGACATTTATTTGCATAGATCTTGTACTAAATACTGAAACACAACTTCTAACTTTTTTCCCATACATTATTTTTTCTCTATTCTAAGCCTTGCTTGTTGTAAAATAAGTATCATCAAAATATTCCTTATAATAAAATAGTTTATTGCAAATGTCGTAATCTGGAACTCACACAATAATTCGGAAATTCCAAGTTTTTGTTCAAATGCCTTGCTAGATAATGTGTCTTGTTACAAGTTTTTTTTTAAATGAAAATGCATCCCAAGAATCATCATCTGCGTTTTGAAATTATTACTTGCCTAGCAAAATGCATTTAGCGTTTTCAAATCTGAAATAAACATGGTAGGGCATTACAAAGTATAAGTAAGTTCTGCTGGAAATTAAATTATTCATTATTAAGTACGGTAAAATTATTCAAAATATGTAAAACATTCTTGAAATTCCGTTCGTTCAGCTGTCATTGATGTTATAAAATGATGGAAATTTCGTGTTTGTGGGTTGGAGGGAAAGTTCTGTCGTATTTTAAAGAAAATATTTGAATTCATTTATAAAAATATGTGTTTAATATTAATCAATTAATAGTATATGCTCCGTTATTTGTTACAACCTGTTGCCATCTTTCCAGGTAACCTGTAAATTTCTGTTTTGTAGAAGTTCTCATCCATGGAGTTAAAATAGTCAGCAACTGCCTTAGAAAACACTTTCAAAAGACTTGAATTTTTTCCCGTTAGATAATTTTGCAGAGATCTGAACAGTAGGTGCAATGACAGGTGAATACGGGAGGTGGGTGACTAAGGATTTCCCCATCCTAACGCATTCAGTTTTTGTTAGTGTCACCACTTGCAGTATGCGGTCGAGCATTATCGTGGCGGAACACTATTCCTTTTCTGGACGCTAATGCTGGCTTTTTTTTCTTTGATAGCTGCATTCAATTTATCCAGCTGATTGCAGTACAGATCCGCGTTGATGTTTTTTCCCTGTTTCAGCTACTCGTAATACACTGGACCTTTCCTGTCCCACCACAAACAAAGCAGTACTTTTCGTTGATGGATACTTGGTTTTGGAACTGTTGCTGATGATGTTCCTGGTTTGCAGTAAGATTTTTTTTCTTTTAATATTCTCGTAAAGAATCCACTTTTCATCTCCAGTAACCAGCCTGTCCAAAAACGGCTCCACATTGTGTCTAATCAGATGTGATGAACATATTCTTACAACGATCAGACAAATTCTTTTCCGTTAATTCATGTGGAACCCAAACACTTTGCTTAACACAAACCCAAGAGATGTAATGTGATCTCCAACAGTTGTATGATGAATGCCAAAACTCTTCTGCAATTTCTCGACTTGTTAAAATGTGGATTATTTTCCAACATGGATCGCAAAACATCATTATCGATCTTGGATGGTCGTCCAGATCTAACACTTTCTTTGAGGCTCAGGTCCCCGGAACGAAATTTGCTAAACCATCTTTGACAAGTACGAACATTTACAATATCTTTTCCAAATACCGCACATAAATTTTTACATGCAACAGATGCGTTGCTTCCTTTTTGGAATTCATATAAAATGCAGTGTCGTAAATGCACTTTATCTACCGACATGGTTTTCCCTTTAAATATTACAAGTAAATGATGAATGACTTAGACTTAGACTCTATAATTGACCAAGCTATTGCGAAGAGCAATGTTGCCGGTTCCAAAATTAAAGCCCAAGGGCACTTGACATAAATAAATCCGGACGTGGAGAAAAGGGCACCTTTTATATTATACAGCAGCTAAAAAAACAAAAAAAAATTCCGATTGACTCACTAGCCAGATGTTTTTTTTATTTACAAGAAAAATCACCTGCCTATTTAAAATACGACAGAACTTTCCCTCCAACCCGATACTATTGAAAATGCACAGAAGCATGGACTGCATTTCAAGCTAATACCTAGGAAGCTGAGATTTATCCTACAAAAAACATATAAATATTATTAAGGAAAACCTGAAAATTTTCATAAGATTTAAATTCGATCACGATAAAGATCCTAAACATACTGACCTAAATTTTTGCTTGTGGTTAGGATACATGCCTGAAGTTATCAAAGCTCCTCCATATTTTCCAGTCCATTCTTCAATCCTATCGAATATATAAGGAGTGGGTTAAACTAAAGAATAAGAAAATATAATATTTCATTGAAAGATATACTAAAAAGAATTCTTACGGGGGCCTGGAAAAACATGGAATATTCTTACGAAAAAATTAGTTAAATCCATCGAAAGAGCATGAAAAGTGTAATTTTAACTAAATGATTTCAAATGAAGTGCAGTACGAACTCCGACAATCCGAATCGCTTTCATAATTTCATAATTTTTCAGAATTAACTGAATAAGAGAAGGAAAAGGAGAAAAAGGAAAAACAAGCTCAAGAAAAGGAAAGGGAAGAGACAGAAGATGAAGAATTAAGAAACATTCTTTTGAAAATTACTGGATATTCAGAAGTTAGAGTTGAGGATACAGCAGAATGGATGGTATGTAATTCATGAGACCCTGTATTTCAAATTCTAAATGATGATAAACTTATTGAAAGTTTATCATCATCTAGAATTTGAAATACAGGGTCTCATGAATTATTGAAAGTGTGAGAGAAGAAAGTGTCGAGGAAGAAGATGACCTTAATGTCGAAGCTGGCAGGGGACCATCATTACTGAAGCGTTTGCCGGCGTTGAAACTGCGTTGAAGTAAATAGAGCGTCCGCCCGAGTGTGTCAACATGGGAACTTCTCATTATCAAGTGTATGCACGACTTGGCTTCCCAAAAACGGATGAAGGCAGTTCAGCAACCAAGAATTTTCAGCATTTGGAAGTACTGCACTGTACGTTATATAATATGTACGTAAAGGTGTTGCTTTTTCATTTCAATTAATTAAAACCTCATTTTCTTTAAAATAGGTTTTTCTTTTTTCAACATACAGTACATACACTAATTAATTAAAGTGTGTAGACTCTTTCTTAGGAAAAAATCCCATTATCTAAATTTCTGACTATCCGGTTCCAATTGATTCGGATCATTGGAGTTCTACTGTATTAAATGTACCGTTATTTTCACGTTTATATTAAATATAAACTGTTTATTGAAACTGTACGAATAGTGAGTTCATTTTCAAAACTTTTCGAATAAAGTATTTTATTTGTCGAAACATTTTGAATAATTTTTTTAATAAACAGGTTTTAGATAAGAAGATCAAAAGCACATGCAAAACAAATTAAGACATTTCACTTGTATTTAGTAACTGGTATTTGTAAATAAATCTAAAACAAGTAAGCAAAAAACAAATGAGAGTCTCTACAAATACAAACTGTTTGCTCAATGAACACTTACGCTAATTCGTTTTCTGAATCTTTTGAATAAATTATTTTGTTAACAAGAGCGTTTTGAATAACGTTTTTCAAAACAAGCAGGTTTTAAAACAGATTATCAGTATTATATGTGAAAGAAAAGTAAAGTAATTTTGCAAATATTTAGTAACGATATTTGCAAATAAAACTGAAAAATACAAGCGTTCGGAAACAAATGTGAGCTACTGCACACAAAATAATCTAACATTCTAAATATTATTGAACATTCCATTTTCTTTGAAAATTTGCTTTCAGGTATGAAATTTTCATAAACGAAACTTAATTTTTTTAGGTTTTTATTTATTTACATATTTTTACACATTTATTTATTATTATTAATTGTAAATTACAACTTTTAAATGAAAGTTGAATTACTGACGAAAATTTAATTTCTAAACATTTCCTTTAAAACAGCAGCATACGGACACTATTATATATAGACATTTATTTCATTTTGAGTTGACAATATTCTGAAAAAGCTTGAAAAATATTCGTTAAGATTTCGTTAGGAAATTTGGAAGTCAACGATCGACAATGTTGAAAGAAAATTATTTACCAAGCATTACTATTTATTCTTAAAACATATAAGTCAGTAATGAAGAAAATACTTAAGTAGCGCAACAGAAGAAAGTCTAACACACTAATCCAAATCATGCGCTTAAATAGATTACGATAGTTTTAGCTAGAAAATTTTCTTCTTAGTATAGTTATGTGTTTAGATATTGCCACACGCCTTTTGAAAAAAAAAAATTCTTTGGAGCAGACGATAATAAATTCTCGTTACTATGTAATTAAAAGACACTATGCGCGGACAAAAGTAATTAAGGAAATTCAAATTAAGAACATCGCTTAGTTATTATCTAAGACTCAAAACAATTCTTATTACATTTTTGTTGGCTAAAACAAATGCATAAAAAAAGAAAGTTTTGAAGCGTTTTGTTTGCATGGCAACTCTGTTAAACTTCTAATTTTGTCTGCTTGTCGATAAGAAAGAAAGACAAAATTAAATGTTCATTATTTTTTGTGTAGTTTATGTTCACATCTTCTTACAAACGTAGAGAAAGTTCTGAAAGGAAGAAGAAAGAAAAAAGAATTGCGATAAAACTTTTCTTATAAAACTGAAAATTAATATTTAACTTATTTAAATTAAAATTTGAAACTTGAAAAGATCAATATGCTGTGAACATAGTTAACTTGTGTAATTTGATTAACTTCATGCAAAAAATGCTGCTACTTTTTTATTTCACAAAAGACTTTTTTTATGGAAATTAAATCAGATATGTTTTGAATTTTGGAACTTTTTTTTTCAATTTACATTTTAGTGAAGATGGTAATTTTGAAGTACAATTTATTAAGATGCTGTAAATTCGAAAAAGGATTTAGAATTAGAATTTCACTATTTAGTGGTTTCTGCAGCAAATCCGTAATAGATCAAACTGGTAATCGACAATATTTTTCTCTAGGTTCCAATGCATAATTTCTGTTTGTGAACATGTATGTTTCCTGTATTATTTAAACCTAACTAAACATAACATTTCACATATATTTACTTAAATTTTAAGGTCGAAAGTGAAATTTTTAAATTTTGGTATACAAAGTATGAAAATAAAATTATTGAAAGTAAAGTCTCAGTACAAAAGCAGGATTTATTTCAAAAGCTCTACAAAATTAAAATTACACGAGAGTACAGAAAAGCTACAGCTTATTATTCATTTAAATGGTAATTAAAGTTACTTAGTACTGCAAGTATCTTAGATATTTTTATTTGCATATATTTTATTGTAGATAAAGTGAAAGATTTACTAATGTAATTCGTTCCTGAAAGCCATTCATAACTCCGACTATTTGTAACACAAAAACTGTTGTCTCCATAGAAATTTGACCACAGATTGGTGCTTACTTAAGCATTTATATTAATAACTTCGGCCCAAGATCTTAAAAAAAACAATGAAAATTGGCTAAAGGCATCTTCCAAAGGAACATGTCAACTAAGTGTCACAGATCCATTTTATGTTCTAGTATTCTTAAATAAAAAAAACCCTTTCTGAATGTGAATCTTTCACGTTAGAGTACTACGTTATCCACGCCATATAGTAAAATAAAAATGCTGAAATAAGATTCAGAAATTAAACGAAAGGTACATATCTACATGAATCAGTTGTAGCTGGTGCAATAGTACTGAGAATTTATTTTATTGCATATTGAAAATGATGAAAACTTTATGTAGCAAATCATGTATCATAAGTTTACCTTTTTACGTTTCCGTTTCTTTAGAAACATTTTAAAAGAAATTTACTCAATTTTCATAAACAAATTTATGTTTATATAGCCATTTTATTTTGATAATTAAAAGATGCCGGTAATACAAAACCGGTGAATCCCTTCCTGATTTTATCTGGAAACATACATTCTGGAAAGAAAATTACTAGTATTACGTTTGAAAATAATTGAATGCTATGATGGAATTTAGAGATGCAAAACATTTAAAAAAAAGCTGACGAATTAAAAATTCCGAGGACTTCTTTGAACGACATGAAAAGAAACCTAGATTGAAAACTGCAACTATATTATAAGATACTAAATTGAAAAACTACAAATGAAAAATAAATTTGTAATTTATATTAATTTTTATTTATTGCATGAACTTAAAATTACGTATTAAAATTAAATTTTCAAGTCATTTTTATATTAGCAAAACTTATTGCATTTCGTGTTAGTCCTCCATTTTTCATATAAGATTACCGAGATTCTTTTACAATTTAAGCAATATTAAAGAAAAATTCAATGAATTCGAATGAAACCAGATTTTTGAGAAAATAAATAACCGAAAGTTAGCATGGAACAGAGAGTTAAGAAAAATGCAAGAAACATTTTAAAAATTATGTACAAATAATATTTGCAAAAATATCTAGTTTTATTTTCAGAGCAGAAACGCCACCTATATCCTCAAGGGGATTCGAGCCACGTATCCTCCAACTGCAAACTGGACATGTTATTCACTTACAACCGCAAGAGTACGCATAAGGCAATGCGATAATTATTTATATTCTTCCCCATTTAAAGTATCACCGAAGGGAAGGGGAGACACTCTCGTCAAAATCCAAAGGTAGTGTTGAATTATCATGAAATACATTTTACTCCGAGGAAAGAGACATTTGGGTTTTCTAAGTTAGAAGCATGAAAATTCGACTATGCTGTCACCGAGATTCGAACTGCGGTTCTTCCAGTTTGCTAGCTGGGTGTACAATCACTTAAGCCATGAGAAAACACGGTAATTCTTTTACACTCTTCTCCAATTAAAAGGTAAATGGCAAGAAAAAAAGGCCCAGTCTACCAAACTCAGATAGCGACGAGTTATTGTCCAGCATATTTTAGTTCAAGCAATATTGTAGAGACATTAGGCTTTCTCAAAGTGGGAAATATGAAACAACTATTCTTTCGCTGGGATTCTAAAACGGATCTTTGAGTTTGCTATCTGGCCTTGCTACCAGTTATACCGCGACAGGGCTCATGGAAGGGGGAGATAATTCCTTATAAGTAAACTCGGAAGTAAATGAAAATAATTCAAAGGGGAAATATAAAAGAGGAAATAAATCATGAAAAACGAAGCTTTTCTTTCCTTCCACCAACCTGCGACTTGGTTATAAAATGAATTCTGGATTGGAAAAATGAATAATTGACTGAAGTCTGGGTGAGTCTTTTGACACGCTGGAAAAGCGAAACGAAATGAAATTCAGGAAATGAGTGCAAATAAAAATGGACCCAGATTCCGTAAAATCTCGATGAAAACTTTGAGGAAGAAGAAAAACAACAGTAGCTTTACAATACTGAGAGAAAAAGTAAACAACAATACATTTACAATACTAGCACAAATATATAGTTTCAAAATTAGTGGCGCAATTTCAGATGAGTATAAATCTATATCTGAACTTGTGAGTATGAAGTGAATTAATATGATATGTTGAAATTATTTCTTTTTACCTCCGATGGATTCAGTTTTTCTTTTATTTTTTATCGTCTGTCGCCGACTAGGTCACGTGACTGGCAGCAGAGAAGGAATGTACTCTGTTAGTTAGCTTGAGGGCGACGCCTTGAAATGATCTGTTCTTGGCCGCATAGCGGTAATTGTTCTTGATAAACGAATCTTGGCCCTATGATGGGAAAATTTATAATATATGTATAATTGTGCTTTCAATAATGTAAATAATGTACATAAGCTCTTCATTAAATGTTTTGTTTTTATATAAAAAAAATATAATCGTGAATTCGTGAGCATAAACGTGACAAATTTTTATACATGATATACATCAAAGGAAAAGGAAATATTTAATTTTTAGATTGTCTTCAAAACGCATACGTAGAATAGTTTAAAAAATCAGTCGCGAAGTTTCAGCCTTAGCGACAAACACCATGAGATAGTTTAAAAAAAGCTTATAAGAACGCGGCTAATTTTTAAATAAATTATAGAAAGTTGCCTAATTAATATTTTTATATCATTTTTGTTTTAAAAGAAGGTAAGAGTTAGTTTCCTAATCTTGTAAAATTTCAAATTCGTTTGTACAGAGGTAATATGAAGCGTGTGATGTAATGAGATCGAAAGCTTGAAAGTTTGTTTCCAAGCGATGGCTAGAAGAACCGATTTTTTTCTCGTCTGCTTCAGAACTGCAACATACATTAAAAAAGATGTTGAAAATCCACCAATTAATTTTTTTAATCTGTCTTGTTTCCAAAGAGGACGAAGAATTTTTTATAATCTGTGAAAATTTCAAAACTTTATATCCTTTTTCATGTTTAGATGTTGAAATTTTAAAATTGTGGACATCAAATAAAGAAAAACCGAACGTTGTTGAAAAATTCGCCAAAAATGCAGAAGTTAAGTTAAAACTTTCATACAAATTTAATTCATTCATCAACTAAGACTTGTACGAAAACTCGTTTAATTTTTAAATTAAAAAATCTCTTCGAAATTTGAGAAATTAACTTTACTACATTGTATTGCCATCCACAAACAATGTGAGACAAACTGGGAACTCAGTAGCTTATCAGATAATAGTTTATAAATCAATGACGAACTTTTGATCATCGTGATAAACACCGTAGGTAAACTCAGTAAAGCATAAAAAAGCTCCTCTTCAAATATTTGCTTGAAATATTTCATTTATTATATATAGCCTTAATAAAATAACTTTTTAAGTTCTGTTTAAAAAAATATGAATATTTCTTAATATGATCTGAATAGTTTTAATTCGTTCCTGAAAGATAAAATATACTTTTTTCCCCTGCCTTTGCAAACGACTAGATTTTTTCAACGTGGTATAAGAAAAAAATTATTGGCCACGAAAGGAGCTTGATACACTTTTTATCTGAGTTTCATCGAAACCTTGATCACTGATTCGCGTGACAATCTCTTTGTACTTGAAGAAAAGCCAACTACAAAAGCTTATGTGCTTTTAAGCATTAAATATTTGAATTTTGCTCCGTACAATTTATCGAATTGCAGATTTTATCTTCCGTAAAATCTGTATGTTGTTGTTAAAAGTTGGAAGATAAAGCTGCTTAAGTATTCTTTCTGGAAATATAATAAAGTTATTTATTCTTTACTCCAAGCGCTAATTTTAAATAAAGCTTTTTTAGTTTTATTCGAGATTCTG